AAAAAAAAAAACAAAAAAACATCTTCTTGAATAAGGTAAAAATATCTTCTTCTTTTGTTGTATATTTCCCCCTTCCTGGCGCCCTACCTGGCTCACATGGAGCTGAGCCTTAAAAATTAAGGAAGAAAATATAAAATAAAGGTATATTTCTCTAAATTACTTCAAATTTATTGGTGGTTTTGGTATTTTGTTTTATTGTTGTTAGTAATGCATGCGATTCTGGTTTTTTGTCCCGTTTAATGCTTATATAGTGTCATTTCTTATTTCGTTTTAACAGGATTCGAAAAGGCAAAGCTTGTGTCAGACCCCAAGATGAAGAGCGCCCAATAGATCGACCTTTGGGGTTAATGGGACAAATGGCTCATCGCCCGCTCATACGGCCGCTTACCGTCGATCGTCAGCAGGAAGCCGCTCGACCCCCAAATACAGAGGCCAAACATGAAACTGTTAGGCCTTTACATGACCCAGAAACCAATCTAACGGGTAAACTGGCAGCGTCAATTCCACCGCCACCTGCCAAACACGTCGAGAGGGAGAAATTTTTCCAGGAGAACAAGTCAGATGGCTCGTCTCTTAATGGCCACATGAAAAAACTTACATTGCACAGCAGAAATGCCAGCAGCTCACGCAGTGGAAGTATAGACTTCAGCGATTGAGTTTTATGCCTCTTGCTCGTCTTTCTTTTGTGTTGGTTGGGTGTTTGTGTTGAGGTTTGAGTTTATTACCTTTGGTGTGCCTTAGATTTGCTGATCGATGCTAGTGTTTCACAGCCTTTTTTTTGGCTGGGAAATGAGTTATCAGAGGGCAAGGCTGTTTTATGCTGTGGGATTTGCACTTTATAACTTTAAGGTTTATAGCAAGATGTTTAGATCCGATTTATATGTGGAAGGGTCTTTCCAGTTACTGGGATGACCCATATATTCGTTTTTTTTTTTTTTTTTTTTTTACTCAAAACATCAAATTTCATAATATTAAAACATTGATACACAATCCAAGTACATACACAACTCCAAAACAAAACCAGAAAACTATGATCCCTATAAATCTGGAATCAACCCCGGGGTTCATTAACAATGACCCCTGGAAGACCACATGGGTCGAAAAAATAAGACAAAATCAAGAGCAAATGATAAGGTTCATCAAAGACCCCAACACTTTAATATCCTCTACAATAAATGATAAATGGACTTGACACTTAGAATTACATTTCATTAAATCCACCATTCTTTTATCCTTAAACTGGATCTGCGCATAGTGGATGGCATTGAAAGACCACTAAAGTTATT